CAATTTAAAGATCTTTTATTTCTAGGTGTGAGATATCTTAGATGCGTTTTTTATTTGTTATTGTGGCTAATGTATGAATGCATCTGAAAACTATATATAGAAAATACATCTTCGAGTACAGTGACTGATAATAGCTGATGATCGACAGTCTCTTTGACTGTGGTAACCTAAGCAAAAATGACAACAATTCACGGGCTTAGTTCTTCTTTCCGCCTCTCTTCGCGATAACATCTCTTGGCTAGCATTTAAGCATTGAGAAAATGGTCTTCGGGAAGATTACTTTTTACGCGACAACGATGACCACATTCATTAAAGGCTCTTATCTACTCTCGTTATCGGCCTCGTCTGGCATGAGGTCGGGGACACAGTAAACGTACTTCTACGTATAATAGGCTGGGAGTATAAATGAAATCTCAAAAAGAGATTTTTAATTACTCCAACAGCAGTGAAACAGTAGCCATGTCCTTAATATTATAAAAAGGAATCAACTTTTTGAATTATTCTCGTGAACTGTATATCAATCATACGCATATTTCTTAACATCGGTACAAAAGTTTTGCAGTAGAGAGGTGGTTAACTTATATTTACCTGAAAGTTTATTGCGCGTGACCTAGTAAATCCTTGACATTCAAGAGAACCCTGTTCGTTATTCGCGAAGTTCAAAGCTATGCATTTTAGGTGGAAAGAGAAAGCTTAGCTTACAATGATACCGCAGTAATTGAAACCTAGAGTTTAAGCAACTTGCTTCCGTAACTTGAAGTTGTTTTTGTTTTCTTTTTTACATATTTTACATTTTTACAATATTTTTGAATTATTTTTTTTTTTTGGATCAAATGCATTTAATTTTTGAGCAATATTTTTCAATGCCTGCTTGCAAAGATTTCTTGTATTCTTCCTTTTTTCCGCATACTTCAATTTTCACTTCTCTATCTTTTATTTTTTTCTGTATTTAAAAAAATCACATATATCGAAATTGACAACAAAGATAGCCTGCAAGCTTCTTCCCATTTTATGAACGAAGTCCACATTTATTCGGCAGAAGAAAAACGAAAAGTCAACCTACAATGATTTTTTTTATTCATTCATTACATACTTTGTAGAAAAATGTCGGAAAAAGGAAAAAGTTTTCCGAAAAATGTCGAATATTTGTTAGTAAAAATTGGGACATTTGTTGTCACCGGAAGTTTTTTGGTATCATTTTCTTTTATGATTCTTTGCCACTTTTGCAATATTATTGTCGTCTCATCGTTATGCGATTATCTACTCAAAAAATATGATATCTTAGCGGGCTGTAGAGTAAAATAATAGCATGACAATATCTATTTTTAGTTACTTGGTTGATGCATTAACTGATTTTTGGCTAATTGATAAAAATGTACGCAGTCTGAATATGTTAGCGCGATGAAGCATAGGCTTTCGATCGACAATATAATCGCTGACCAAACTGACCGTGCAGTCGACCACCAGTTGTGACTTATACCGCAATGCGCTCGGCATGACGTTCAATCTGCTCTTTTGGCATCGCCTAGCTGTAGCTGTAGTTTTATGCCACATGGTTATCTTACTTTTGTCCACTTTTCTTTACTTCTAACCGCCTCGCAAAATCATGAATCAATTACCTTTCATTAGGCGTGCACAGCTAAAAATACAAGCCAGCATATGCGAGAGTAGTGAGAGTTGCGAGAGAAGGATTTCCCTTCCACATTTTCTTGAAAGAGCTCTTGTCATCAATAAATGTTTAAATCCTTCGTTTTAAATGCGTCTGTTACAAATTCACTTATTGTCAATAACTAATAACGAGTGTAATGATGTTTAATAATTTAAGTAGGCAGTTATGTGGGACAGAAGGTTCCCTATGAATTTGTTGTAATGAAAGTGAAGATTGTTTGGGTATGTGTACTTATTTTTTGGTACCCCGGTCGGCTGTTGCTGCCAAAATTTGCATTCTTTCAATTTGCCAAAATTGATTCGGCCACAAGCGTCACTATACAATAAGAAGAATTCGTTTTTTTTTTTTTTTTTTGTTCATTTGATGCCTTATGTGCCAAGACAAACTCAACTTCAAAAGCGTTCAAAATTAATTGACTTTATTAATAAAATTGTTTGCCTATATATTAATTTTCTACAACTAAAATTATATAAAATTGCTTACTCGTAATTTTTGGGTAATGAGCGCTTAGCGCAAATTTAATGCTTACATTTGTTTTTTGAAGGAATGCAAATGCAGCATTTTTGCACTTGTGTCACTTGCTTTTGTTTTTCATTTCATCTTTTCGTTTTATTTCATTTTTAATTTATTGATGGTCGCACTCTATATCGTGCATACAATACAATAGAAATAATTAGTTATCGGAATAATTCGAACAAGAAATACCGATTCGAAGATATCGTTTGCAGGATTTAAGAAACGTTTAAGAAAGACTGCAGATCGCATTCCTCTATCTTCAGCCACTACTCTTAGCTATTTGTTAGCCATTATTGTCATTTTCTTCCTTACGTATTATAACCTAACTTTTGTTCGATGGAGACTTTGTTGTGTTTGTTGTTTGTTATTTGTTCTATTCAATTAGTCGTGAAGTAACAGTCTAACGTCCTGACGATCACGTATAGCAATTGAATGTTATGATGATATGTGAACAGTGAGTAATGTATGTTTGTTCTATGAATGCAAAAGGGCATACCGAGAAAGCAAAGGTATCGAAATAGATCAAAAAAAATTGACGGTGGCGAGCATTTATCCCGGAATCCACGAATGGTGTACACGCTTCAGTGATAGTCGTAAAAACCCAAATGACGGCAAACACATTCTTCGAAATACGCAATAGTTGAACATGCCCCCAAAGCCGAGTGTGAATTCGTCAAAGGTCAGCTAAAATTTTCATCGAAATTAGTATAAGTTGAATTGGATGCCTGCAAAAAATCAATTCACCGCATTTGAATCGAATATTCGAGTATTGAAAGATCGAATTGCGCCTTGTTGCCTATAAATTAACTGTAGGTAAAAGGCATAAGTGTATCAAAATTCCGATATTAACCAGCAAGCGTTGTATTCCCTTAATTAAGCGCCGTGTCACATCTCCCTATTCGAGAAAATGCATTGGCCGTCGTAGAACATAGTGTTTCCTTTGATTAAAAAATAAGATAGCCTTCTGCGTGTTCAGTTCAGCGTTTGCCACAGCGTGAGTAAAGGTTGTGTCCTTCCACTTCATATAGTTATGAGCAAGTGTTGCCACCAGAATGTATTATATAAGAAGAGATCTGCTTTCTTCAGAACGCACATTATGTGGTACATAGATCGAGAAAGAGGGAAGGGAACGGACCATATTAAAATTACTCGATAGTTCACTTTTCTTAGTCTACGTAATAATCTAAGTCAACTTAATCAAAGCGTACTTAATTTTAAGCATATGTTCAACTATTTAAAAATAACTTACTTCGACGAAATAGTAAGAAACGGCGGCGACACTGTAGACATTCTCCCGACCCATCATCAATTTAATTCGTTCTACGGAACACGCCTTTTTTTAGTGCAAACATGAATTTTCACGAAATGGAAAAAATCATTTAATATATAGTACCTGCCTATAAATGGAGTAGTAGTGGAGGGCATTTTAAATGGTATGGAGTCCTGTCTAATTGGCGAGCATTTGAGTGAAGAATTTTAATTCTCAACCAAACGCAAACAAGCTTTTGTAAATAAATAGATAAGATGCTTAAAGTAAATTATGGAAAATTCCTTACGCTCTTCTCGATATTGCAAGAAATGTGAATGAAATCAACTTTTTATACTTTACTTATGGCGAAATCGCAGGCGAAAAAGTGTACAAGTCATTAGTCGTAGAGATGATAATCAAGCTTTAATTTTTTTCCAAAATTGCGGAAAGTTTTCGGATCGCATCCGACTTCATGTCTACCCGGCGGTTGTCTTGATGAAGCTGCATTATCATGTTTTCGTTTATAAATATTTCAAAGAAATCTGTATTAGAGGGACTAGAATCCAGCAGAGATGCATTTGACTCAAACGTTGTTGTTATTCACATATTCTAGAAGATCTAAAGCATTCATTATACCAAAAAGCCTTTTTTTTTTATAAAAGTATTATTATTTATTAACGAATTAAATATAACATTCAATAACAACAACAAAAAAGTATCTAAGCTCTTGCCTATCTAAACTCGTTTAGCCATTGTCTTGATTATCCTTTTCATTCATAATCACTGTCATATCTTTATTATTCATAAATTGTTATTGAATATCTAGCTTTTACTTTTAATGTAAAATTTAGTGTGTAACGATATGGGCGTGCTTCTTTCACTATTTAAGCGGCATAAAGCGTCAAATTGTCTATACAAATTTCCATCACAAGACTGGTATCAGAATCGATGTAACTGAACTGAATTAATATTGAAATGCTTACAAATGCATCGCAAAATGCTAATAAGCGTTGACTGTCAAAGCGTGAATGAACAGTAGCGTTAGGCAAGCATAAGAGAAATCTAACAGTAGCAGCAATAGCTTCGTTGTTCAAATTATTGACAAGTGCTAGATACTGGATGTTTGCTTTTGGCATTGTTATTTGAAGTTGATATTGCAAGCACATAACGATAATGATAATGACAGTGAGGCAGGCAGACAATGTTAGGAATCATTCAAATGTAAAGATGGAAAAGAACAACTGCAACAAAAATGTAATATTAACGGCGTGAATGTGTTGTTCTTCTATACCGTGGCAATTGCGATAATGAAAGTTGCATTAACAGCAAGAGTTTCGTTGCTAATCAAATTTTTTTAGAAAGCAACCAAAGCGTATGTAAGAGATTGATTGTAATGTTTTTCACGTTCCCTTATAAAAATTTTCACTTCAATATAAAGTGCGTTTATTTAAGTTACTATTTTTAAATGATTATGACAATGATTATGACAATTATTTTCTTAACTAATTTGTCACTTAACTAATTGTTTTTCTCTTATCGCTTTAAAATATCTTCATTTTTTGATAGCCGATCATATACCACATCCTTGTGATACAGTAAGTTGTCCATCCTTATCGGACTTAAGCTGCCCTAATGATAGTGAAGAGCGGCCATTTTTGATGCCATTTACCTCTAGCGCATCTTCAAATTCTTCTGTGGTTATCAATGATGAACTTTTTGCACAGTGTTGTCTAAATCAAAAATGTATGTGCAAAACTTGCCATATACCCGATTGCAACGAAGCGGGAGAGGTGGTTGTGGAACTATCACCAGAATCTATGGACACGCCTGGAAATTGTTGTGGCAAATACGAGTGTCAACTTGAACCGAATTGCACCGAACATCAAAATACTGACAGTTACTGGTTGACAAACTGTCAGCGTTGTAAATGTTTCGCCGGTCAAAATATATGCCATCAGATTTGTGATGAAAATTCGAGAAAATCAGCCATTTGCCATTCAAAGAATCTTAATAAGTTCTTTGAAGACGGTGATACCTGGAAGGATGGCTGTTCCGAATGTGAATGCATTAACGGTGAACCGAATTGCGTGATCACATTTTGCCGCAGCGTTGGTTGCCCTCCGCATTTACAAGTAACGCAAAACGACAGCTGCTGTCCCATATGTTGGCCCGAAGGTATACCAATGCCTAATGGGCGGCTGGATTACATAGACGAAGAGGATGGCGATGAAGGTAACGAATCCGACAATCATTACGATGAAGATGAAAATATACCTATGGGAGCAATTGGTACAGATGATTACCTGGATCGAAATAGCAATGAACTTTTGCCAGATATAGTTTGGAACATAACTAATCGACCATCTAAATCTGACAATTTCACCACAACAGTATCTACTGGCTCGCCCAGCAGCACTCCTACATCTGATCCTTGCACGAAAGAGGAAACCCCGGCTGCTTATCAATTGTACCCTCAAGTTGTAGAGTTGATGCGCTACAATCAACAAAACGATATATTATACACTATAATCGCTTTACTATCAATATTGGTTATTGTCTTGGCTGCTTGGAATATCCATTTAAAATCTAAGCAGCGTTCCTATAGACCGGTATCAAATTTCGATGATAATTTTAATAGAATGTCTTCTAATATTAAGAAAATGAATGATTACGTTTAAAACTAATTTCTGTTAAAACTTATGACAACAACAGTTAATTCAAAACAAAGCTAAGCTTAAAGATTAAATTAAGTTAATCAATATTACATTTTGAAATGATTTTTTTCATCATTTACAAATATTTTGTTATAAGAAGAAAATGTTTAAATCATACTAAATTTGAAGGCAGTTTGCACATTTGTTTTTATAAATCAAAAAAAATAAATATATATATATATATATATATATATATATATATTGTTTTAGGATGTATTTTAAGACAAAATTGTATCTTAATTGGTCCACCATCGGAGGTTAGTGATAAATTCAATTTATCATTCCTTTTGTGCAATAATAATCAGAAATATCCATCAAACATCCCGTTCCTGTAACTAACGGATAATACTAATCTCTAGTAATCTCTCTGTTCAATTCTGTTCGCTAGTAAAGTCCTAAATTACTTATTGAATAAACAAGCGAAAGTATATTAAATTTGTCAAATGCTTATCACGCGAATAGAACACCATCACAGACCGCATAAACTATATGCAAACTTGATCGGTGCGAAGAGCGAAATTTATTTAACTATTTCCGTTGAAATAACAATAACGAACTCAAAATTATCAAGAGGGAAAAGCAACTTATTTTTTGAATTTTTCCTGATGCTTGAGATCGATTGAAAGCGTTTCATATATGCTCTTTTTTCGAAAAGTTGAAATTCGAATCATTTTCCATTACTCTATGACGTTTCAATTCGTTTCTGCAGAAAAAGATAATTAAACTTGTAAATCGTTCAAGAAATATTCAGTTTATGCGTTCGTTAGACATCAACACACGAAAAGGAAGCAAGTAAATGATAAGTGAGTTGAAAAAAATTTATTTTAATTCATATGAAAAATGAGCTCATTTTCTATAGCTAAGGATAAGGATCTCAATATAAAATATTTTTTTTATATTATTTATCAATTATAATAAATTTTAAAATAAAAATTTGTAAAATCTCTGAATTTTTTACAAAAATTCCTTCCAAAAAAGTATTCATTCATATTTTCCTAATCATAAATTATGTGAACAAATTATTAAATATATATATTAAACTCATAAGCACTAAGATATAAAAAAAGAAAAAAAAAACAAATATTCAGCGCGAGATGAAACGTTAACGAATATCGAAAATATATTTAATAATTCCTGCAGAGATAACCTGACCTGAGCTCAGTGCATTTGAAAACATTTTCGATAGAATCAGACATCATCTCATAAGAAAGCAAATAAGAGATTCTTGCGGTTTTTCCATAACTGAACGCAAAAGGCTAAGGTTATATTCGTGCTGTCATATAGTTTCAATTAGTTTCGCATTCTTTTGAGATTCTAATCGAATTTAATCATGTCTGTTCATCCCTTTTTCTTTTTTTTTTGATTTAAATCTTTTTAATGAAAATTTTTGAGTTCGCAAACATTGAATTAACGCAAATGCATTTCTAGCTTAGCTTTATAGATCAAGTTTAGCAAACAACGCTGTCCGTGCGTCATTCGCGTCATTTAAAAATTCGATAATAGTACTAAAAAAAAAAAAACAAAAACAAATCAAAATCTTTCGCAGATATTGACTTAATTTTCAATGGAAATAGTTACTCAAGTCATTAATAAAATTCATTAGAAAATTGATCGGGTTTTTCGAAAAATTTTTCCTCCTATTCATCAGGTTTATATGTTGTACTGAGATGGTGTTCCTATTTAAGATGCGTTCCACGGTTACTGTAATATTCCTAATTGTTTCTGTTTTGCACTTGAAGACCTTAGTATCTCAACGTGAACGCAATCATCCTTAACAGGAAATGTTTTATCGATTGCTTAATTTAAGCGGCACAATTCAAAAGCGATTTTTAATTTTATAATTTCTATGTGATATTTGTATTATACATATTAAGCAAAAGCGAAAGCGAAAGCGAAAGCAACATTACTAATTAGTTAATATCAAATCTGTATTAGTAACTGTAAAAGATTATTTAATGTTATGATATAGGTTAGGATGTGAAAATGCAAGCTCTTAAAATAAGCTGATAATTAAATATAATATAAAAAATTTTCTCGTGTATATATATAATTGAAATATATATATATTTGTAAGTTTAAGCATCAGTACGAACATGGAATATTAAATCAACTTCTACTTGTTACACGTTCGCACAATCATTATAAGAGTGAGTCCTTATATAAGTAAGTCCATTTTATAAATTCTTTAATGGCTTTCATTTTTAAATTTGAAAAATAATTTTTGAAATATTTACTAAAAATATTTTTAAAAAAATAAAGAACCACTATAAAGATCAATTTTCTATTCCTCTTAATATAACTTTTCGAAAAGTAAGTACTTGCAGATTAAAGTTTTATTATGCTTAAAGCACTAAAGCATTATGTCCGGCGTCGGAAAAAAACTAAATCCATATTAGATCATCCAACTGGAAATGCAAATCTACAGTGGGCCTATTAATAATAGACCACTAGAGATATGAGGTATATGAACGACTTGAACGCTTATATGGTGAATATAAAAAAAAACTAAAGAAACTAACACATATACAATCGTAAGCAATAAGTCTTTTATTGGAATTAAAAGCCTATCAACGCATGTTTTTGAATTTTTAAGAATTCTTTTTCTGACTGAAATTAATTTTATTATGTAACAATAACAATAAATAATGATAAACCCACTTTTTCATATTATTTCAGCTTTAATTTTTTATGTTTATATCTTTTGATTAAAATTTATTAACTTAATTGAAATTTTGAAGCATTTTCGATTTGCTAGAAAATCGGATATATACATAAACGTGTGAATGGAATCGGATGATTTTTTTTAAGTTTTTATTTATCAAACTCGAGCTTACGTACGTTTCTTTCGATTTATGTTAATCCGCAAAAAAAATTACAAAAGCTTTACCGTTCGTAACTGCCTTCCTCTTACTTATCTCTTACTTACTCTTCTTTACCCAAGTCATCAATCTTCTTGGAAATGATCGCAATTATAACCGACGATGAACTGCCACATGATTTGAAGGATGAAAACATCATCACGCAATATTAAAGTAAACCTGGAACTGGAGAAATCATTCCTATTAATGTTGCCATAATTAAATGTTATTTATATAAAGAAGACGAACATTACAACTATTTAGATTAAACCGAATATATTTTAATACCTATGCAAGAAAAATTAATATTTCCAACTTTTTGTAGCCTACACCATATATTGAATTAGTGCCGACATATGTAACTTCTAGAAGGGCTTAACACGGACTCACCGATCGTTTTAGAAAATGATTCTGATTCGATCTAAGCCTGTCTGTCTGCCTGTCCATGTGATGTCTGGCCATATAAATATTGTGTTCAAGCTATAGGCTGCAATTTTAGAGATGTTTTAATGAAATATGATAAGTTGACGTATTTTAACCGACGTTATTAAAAGTGGGCCGGATCGGTCCGCAGTGTACATAATGTTTGGCGTTGCCCGACTATAATATTCTTACTTGTTTTTTAATTACAAGTCATTAAGGGAGATATCTGTATGTAGATGAATCGCGGTGAAAAAGTGTGAATGGAGAAATGCAGCGTAGCGCCACGCAAGGAAGTGTATACCCGATCGGTAAGTGCTATGCCCTTACCATTACGATTGAAGATACGCACATATGTGAATCATAATTAAAGCATAGCCTACCACACTGAAAGTTGGGTTCAGATATGTCGACTTGATAATACAATACACGCATACAATGAATACAATACACGCATCCTGTATAATATACATGTTTCATGTCGTACATTTATACAAGTACGATAAGATCGCAAATCAAAGAAAAAAATTAAAGTGGACCTATCCAGCGATAATTGTATAATCGCAATTTCGAAAGAGGGACGAACAGATTGGCGTAGCCGAGTCTATTCCTTTATTCATGCCGGTGTACAAAATATATACCCTTAAGGACATCCAATTTACCTTTCATTCGGCAAAAACGCTTAGCAAATGAGGAACCGATCCTGAGAAGATGACATTTTTTTTGTTGAAACCCGTAAAACAAGCCAAATCTGGTTGCCCAACGATATCAATATGACTGCATATTCCCTTTCTTTCTCAACAAGTCCTATATATATATCGTTTCGACAAATTATTTTACATCGGTTAGATCCCCATATTACCCCACTACAGAGTGTGATTAATTCAATTTTGTAGAGAAACTTTGATAAAACATATACAGTAACTCGTCGATGCCACAATGTATATAATTAGATTAAATGGAAAGGCTTGTTGGGATTGTCATACATCAGTAACGTGCTGCTTAGTAATGAAAGTGAACCCATAACCCACAACCAACGTTACCAGACTCAGTATAAATCGCAATCTTCGCCATCAATACATATCAGAGCATATGTATTTATATATTATTTACTCAATATAAATTCTGAATTTTTGTATATATTATTTATATGAATTCAATTTGGTATATTCTTTATCCACACCAAAGAATGGCGAAATACCAGCCCGACAAGTCGAATGATAATGCACAGAAATATCCTGGATTAGCGTAAAGTTCATCCCTATACGCCCTCTGTATATTGGTACATCCCACTGCTGATCTAGCTCTGATGACCGCAAAATTTAATACGATTAAAACGTGATATATTTGGCTTTGAATTATTGACCGAAACACACACGTAAACGTAAGTGCAATGTTGTCAACAACTTGCACCCTATAATGGATATTGGTATAACAGATAATTGAAATATTGATGAAAGGGAAAACCGACCACCTAAGACATCGATAATTAAGAAGAAATTTTTGGTGTTATGGCTTTGTCGCAAACAAGCTGGAACGCTATCCGAACGCTTCTTATTTTCCATTGCAGATGCTCCATCAACTCCAGCAGGATCTGTGCTCCCCATACTGTAGAACAAAGAAAGGCGATGCATAAACTCACCGAAAGACATTCAAACAATAAATTGAAGATTTCCACTAATGTTAAATTTAATTAAATTCATAGCTTTAGTCTGCCCACTGCTTGTGATATGAGCAATTTCTATCCTCGATGTTTTGTCTGAGTCAACGATGTTAGTTTAGATGAGGAGTTGCTTCTATGCGCTATATCTTTGAGGCATTTCTCTCTCACAATATATAATCATGCCGTTTATAAATAAAGCAGATATTAATGAATCAACTTTAGGG